TTTGGAAGCAGGAGTGGCATCCACTTCCTAAATCACATGACTCTGGAAACCCTATGAACTTTGATAGAAGTCGATAGCTGTAGAGGGACTTCAAGCCTTTTGTTCATAGGGTCGCTATGAGTCGTGCTCGACTCAAAGGCAATCAACAACAAATGCAAAAACTTCTTTCACGTGGCTACGTGTTCATCTTAAAAAGGACATGAATTTAAAAAAAACAAACCCAAAACCCAAACACACACTTTTCCAATCACTGTGTTTTTGTTATGTGCAAATAAATTGACTACAACTTCTAGAGACGCTATGGAAAATAAAAAAAAAGGGAATTAAGTGTCACTCAGCTGACTCCAACGCGTGGTGCCCATGCTGTGGGTCGGGTGGAAGCGTGCTCCGTGGGCTGCCAATGGCTGATGTGTCGTGGTGCCTGTGGAAAAGGGGGCAGACTGTGAGGGGCTGACCAGGCACTGTAGACACATTCATCAGTGGCCAGTTTATGTTATTCAACAAAGTTCAACCAAAGATCTATTTTATTTACTGCAGTGGTGGTAGAAACATCAATCATGATCTGTAAGCCTTCACTGAAAAAAACAAAGTCTTTCTAAAAAAACAAGGGAGTTTTGTTGCGTGAAAGACATTAGTGAAAGACATTATTTCATAACGTTAACGTCCATTGGTTAATGTCATTGCCATTTCTAACCAACCCTTCTTGTCCACTGCCTTTCCATTCATTCACCCAACTTAGCATTTTCTCCCCCTCTCCCTCCCAACCCATCAATAATCTGTCCACAAGCCAAGTCTGGGATCCTTCCTTGTTGTTTTTGTTGTTGTTGTTGTTATTCTGTGCCTTTGAGTTGGAACCGGCTCATAGTTGACCCTCCAGTGGGTTCTTCGAGGCAGTAAAGTCTCATGAGAGGAGACTGTCCACCCTTCTGCAGAGCAGCTCGCGGATTTGAACCATAGACCATGGGGACTACAGAGCAGCTTCTTACCACTAAGCTCCCTCATCCTTCCTTGTTGTCATTGTTGACAACTGTTGAGTCAAGGTAGACTTATAGCAACTCCATGAACAAAAGAGCTAATGTCTTTCCATAACTATCGTCAATTCCAAGTTCATAGAGTCTCCAGAGGCATGTATTTAGGAAGTGGATGCCACTCCTGCTTCCAAACTTGTTTTACAACTGGGAGCTCCACCAAACACTGTCCACACTGGGGAACCATTCTGGCATTTGACACCCCAGTGGTACAAGGTTCAGCATCACTGCAACCCAGGTTACTTCATACAGCACATTGACAAAGAGTGACGTACAACGTGGAAGAGTGTTCCTCCAGATAGAACAGCATTAGTTGTATTTAGCAGTGGTTAAGTGTCAAGTTGAATACGACTGAGAGTAAGTTGGGCACAAAAGACCTGAACTCTGTTCTGTAACTAACATCATTTCTGTACACTTAGAGAGTTTAAAGTTTGTCGAGTTTAGACCGTTTACTCCTTCCTTAGTTACTATTAAAAAATACAAAAGCAAAAAACCACAAACAAACAGCCCCTAATTAAACCTTCACATAAACTACAGCAGGGTCTCTGAACGATTACAACTTGGAAAGCTGTGGGGCCGTGCCATAGGAGATGGTTTCCACGATGTGGGATGGGCTGAACATCCCCCAGCAAGTATTTGTCCCCTAGTATTTTCCTTCTTTGTCTGTCTTTCATCTCCTGGCATCTGGAATTTCATTCTCTGCCACCACGTACTCCAAAGGTTCTCCCAGGCCCTCTCAAACACTTGCAGGTTATGTTTGTACTACTTTTAACACTCAGCTGAGTTGACAGATGTAGCCGATGGCTGTTTGTACAAAGGTGGACTCTCTCTTGTGCTGTGTCCACAGGTTGTTTGGAATGGATCTGAACAAGGCGACCCACAGAGAGCTGGCTGCGCTCCGCGTGAAACAGCCCAACTTGGACATCGGCTGCTGAGGGGGCCAGTACCTCCTGACAAAGATGGGGAGCTGGGTCCATCAACAAACGAATGGGTAGAGAAGCTGTGGTATATCCATGCAATGGAATACTATGCAACACTGAAAAAGAAGGAACTCATGAAAATATTATACACAATGGATGACCCTGGAGGACATTATGCTGAGTGAAGTATCTCAGTCACAAAAGGACAAATATTGCACGGGGCTATTGTTGTAAAACGAAAACTGACATCAGGGTTGAGGGAAGACAAAGAAGGAGGGGAGGAATGATGTATACTGCATTGAAACAGATGAGGGAGAGAACTATTTAAAAGGGATATATGATTAGGTATTATTGTCATGACAGGAGTCCAGAATGAAGGCTGCAAAATGGAGTGGACTTGGGGGGGAGGTACTGCGTAACAATGAAAGAATTTTACTTTTCAAAAAGAAGAATAAATTGGGGGTGAGAAGGTAGGCAGGGAGAAAAGTGCAACAATGAATGAATGGAAACCCTAAGTCTCTGTAAACTTTCATGAAAATTAATAAAAAAAAGAAAAGAAACAAATACATGATTGTTAAAAAAAAAGATGGGAAGCTGGGTGTGCTTATTATCCAAGGCCCACAATCACCCCATAACTAGTTAGTTGCTCAGTGATCAACCCACATTCATGGCGTGCTATGTGTGTCTGAACTGAGCCATGCTCAGAGCCTTGTCTGAAGTCGATGGGAGCTGCGCCTGCCTTTCCACAAACGTGCCTCTGAGTGGAATTGCTAATACTTCAGTTGTTACATGGCTTCAAGCTGAATCCACCACAGCTGGTTCTCCAGCTGGTTGTCAGGGGGAGTAAATAGCACTGGAGATTGTCTGCAGAGAAGCTGCTGGGTTCAAACAGCACACCTCCTTACCACTCAGGCCACCTTTCAATTGGAGGAGGAGGGGGAGGGGAAACGGAGGGGGAGGGGGAGAAGGTGGTGGTGGTATTATGTGCCATCAAGTGGCTTGCTACTCATAGCGACCCTATGTACAACAGCCCTAAACTCTGCTCTGTCCTGTGCCAATTGCACTGTCTCCGACACACCCATCCCGATTACCCCAGTCACTGAATCAATCCACCTCATAGAGGACCTTCCTCTCCTGAGCCGTCCCTCCACC